TTCTGATGAGAAGCCTGTTGTTCTTATCTTAGTTCTAAAGCTAAATTATCATTGTATCTCAGAAATGAAACTATCTTGAATATTAATAATATTCTTTTCAACATAAAAAAAGACATACAAAGTACAAATTAGGAGGGAAAAAGTCATAATAAATTGTGTCAACATGAAAAACTTCTGAAAGTACCTTAATGTGAAAATGAGCCAAAGACTGGGAGAATATTTAAAACACATATCCAGCTGGGTTCGGTGGCTCAGCCTATAATCCCGCGCCTTGGGAGGCTGAGGTGAGTGGATTGCCTGAGCCCACGGGTTCGAGACCTGCCTGGGCAACTTGGCAAGACCTCATCTCTTCAATAAATCAAAAAATTAGCCGGGCGTTGTAGCGTGTGCCTGTAGTTCCAGCTATTTGGAAGGCTGAGGCGGAAGGATCGCTGGAGCCCAGCAGGTCGAGGTTGTGGTGGCTAGGAGTGGCCACTGCACTCCAGTCTGGGCAACAGAGTGAGACTCCAACTCAAAAAAATAAATAAATAAATAAATAAACACATATCCAATAAAGGATCTGTATCCAGAATATTCAAAGAATTAAGGCAAAACACCTCAGTAGAAAAATGGGCAAAAGTTATGAACGGGCATCTTATGGAAGCAAAAAGCTTGAATAGCTAATGACTGTAAGAAAAAAAGTCTCAACCCCATCACCTGTCAGAGACTTATAAATTAAAACCAGTCATGGTAGACTGATTACCAGAATTAAAGCCTGACCATGCTACATTTACCACCTGTGGTTCGTGTGAATTGCAGCAAGCAATTTGGAAAGCAGTTCTGAATATTTAGGAAAGTTGAGCAAACCTTCCTGTGTCCCGCCAATCTCACTGCTGATGGAATTGGTGATATTTCATCCTTTTTAAGCTTGGTGGTTCGTTGTGGTTTCTGGGGCTTAAAAATTTTTTTTTTAATTTTAAAGATATGGGTCAATTCAGGGTTAGGTATACAAATGGTCATTGTGTAGGTAAAGTTTGGACCTCACTTTGGTCCCCACTTCACCTGGTTTGAGATCGGGTACCCTTATTGATGAAGTGTCATTGTGTTATTATTCTCACCTTTTTCTGTGTCTGAAATAGTTGATCATATGTCTTTAAGATAGTCATACCCCCCCTCTTCTCTCAAGTCCTCCATCCTGCAGGTGTTACTGGATCTACCTCTGTCCATCCTGTTCTTCTCACTTAGAGCAGCCCATTTGATATTAATCCTGCAGTACTTTTCCATCTGTGTGTGTCCACTATGATTTCTTTCACCAGTATTTTGTAGCGATCTTTCACCTCCTTGGTTAAATATATTCCTAGGTGGGTTTTTTTGGCAGTTATTATAATTGCGATTGAGTTATTGCTTTGAATCTCAGCTTGGTCATTATTGATGTATCACAGTACTACTGATACTGTGTATGTTGATTTTGTAAGCTGAGACTACTGAATTCATTTATCAAGCTCAGGAGCTAAGCTCTGGGTCTGCAAGGGCAGGGAGAATGGTATGAGGGATATTGGAGGCTCAGAACAGGGAGGGTGAGAAGGAAGTGAGGGTGAAAAATCACCTATTAGGTACAATGTGAACTAGTGGGGATAACAGGCATACTTAAAGCCCAGATTCTTCACCAGTATACAATACGTCCATGTAACCAAAAACCACATGTACTCCTAAAGCTATTGGAATAAAAAGTTTTAAAACTAAAATAAAACACATTTTATGTGTCTTATAAAATAAAAGGCATTACTTATTATAAAATAAAACACATATATTTGGGTGAAAAATCCTTGAATATTTCCAGGCTCCTATGAAAAACTGATTTGTGGCAATGACTAGCCACAGAACTTAAAATCAGCACATACGTTAATTACACATAAGAGCATACCATACACCAGACACTAGGTGTTTTCTTGTGCTCACTCACTCTTGCATCGGGTTTTTTAAAAATCCCCTGGCATTAGCTCTTTTAATTCTCCATAACAGCTCTAGGAGGTTGATTATCATTATTCTCACTTATGAATGAAGAAACAGAGGTGCAGAGAGGTAGTCGGTAGCGGAGGTGGTATTCTCACCCTGCCAGTCGGTCTCGTTCCCAGACCTGCACCATGAACCCACTTTCTGGTGTTTCTGCTGTGCCATGCCCAAGCAGGAGCGTGGAGAGATTGCATGGGTCACTGAGGTCAAAATTGATTTGAATCGATTGGAAATGAGATGTCCAAATTAGCCATGTGAACCACTCCGCCGGCTGAATTCTCCAGAGTACTTTTTTGGCTCATGTAAGTGGCTTGTTAACTTCCAGTTGTTTTCTTCCTCTCCCCAAGCAATGGTCTAACACTGTCAGCATTATTGGGGAGTACTTGGAGGGTTTACAGAATTCAACAGCCATTTCTAAATTCAGAGGACTTTTCATTTACTGAATAATGCATCTTTAATTACTGACCAACTTATGCTGGTTTGCAAAGAGTGAGACTGTTTATTGCCAGCTGTATCCCACCCTAATAGATAAGAATAGCATTTTATATTATTTTATTTTATTGGTAATTCAAGCCCTCTCTCAGGGGGGAGTGTGTCACTTCCCCAATACTTGTACTTCAAAGAGATGAATTGCTTCCTGGTCTGGAAAGCAGCCAAAGCTCTAAATTGACATGTTCAACTGAATAATAAATTTCATGTAAGAGAATGGTGCCAGATGCACAGTGATTTGATAAAAAGGCATTTGAACTCTACAAATAATATAAAATATTTCTCTTCTTGAGAAATTTTAATAAATTGTTAAATAAAAGACTGCGTGAAAGGTTTTGTGCTCAATTCAGCTTCTGCTACACATTTTAGTGAATAGATTATTCTGGCAGTATGTCAGCAGGAGGCAAGGCATTAGATAATTACATGTGAAATATTCCAAGTGGCTGGGCCACACCCCCATCTGAAATTTACAAACCTTTAGAGATTCTTTAGAGTTCTAGCACAGCACTGGTACGTGCACTGGGGGATGGGGAGATACCCCTTATCAACAAGGGTGCCTGAATGATGCATATTTGTATACCTAACCCTTAACTGTATCCCACAATTTTAAAATAAAAAATATCTTAAAAAATAAAAAAATTAAAATATTCTTTGCAATTAAAAAAAAAAGAAGCAAAGACTCACTATTTTGCAAGTTCATGGCATCGCTTTTCCTGACTGGGTTTGGCTCAAACATGCATTCTTATCTGTATCCTTTCTTATCTGACCCTCAGGACACCATGCAGATCCTTGCGATGAAGTTTCAGTGTATTTGTTCCATTTGTGTTAGCCAAATGCATTCTCTTATCTCTATTTAGAGCTATTAAAACATTTTGCACAGCACCTTCTAAGAATATAGGGCATAGGCTCTGTTTTAAGAAATAGTAGTCTTTATTTTTCCTTCCCGAATATGCTTTTCTTCAGAAACAACACAAATCCCCAGAATTTTAAACAGACTTTCAGGTCACCAGAGAGAGAAAAGCAACAATCTCTTACTCAAAATGGTTAAATAAAATGCCAGAATGTTAGAGTACTAAAGCCATTTTAATAATGTTATCATTTTTAGGCAGGCCCCATCAAAATAGAATGTTGTGATTATCCTTTTAAAAGGATGAAAACAAAAAATTTAATCTTTTACTAAAATGCTATATACTTCTTCCAGCTGTCATTGCTTATTTTTCATGGTAGATAGTCATGTTTCTATGATTGAACAATTTTATTCCAAGCAGGCGGTAATCTCTGTACATTCAGGCACTTTAAATTAATAGATTAGGCCTCACAGCTGTACTCAAAAATGTATTTAGAAGACATCCTTTAACAGAATAGATAGTGATGTCATTGTCTTTAAGAGCTCATCAGAGTTTAAACCACAGAAGATTCGGAAAGATACAGAAAAAAAGTTTAGGTCAAGCAACTTTGTGTATTTAAATCTGACACAAACACAATCCTAGAATGCCAGATCTTCAGAGTGTTAGAGCAGTAGATTATACACAATCTGTCCTATAGATAAAGGGGCTGTTTCTAAATTGACTAATAAACTGCAATGATCAATAAGTGTCTGCTGCCATGGAGATAAACTAGGCTCTAATTCAAGGTCCTTCCCGTTTGGTGAGGCATCAGTTTTTCAGGCAAAAAGCTTTCATGTGCTTCCAAGAGATTTTCTTTCTCTGTGTTCCCCACCCCTCTACCTCACCCCAAACCTCTTATTCTGGAGGTAAAATGAGTGGAACTTCAGGGAGATCCGAAAAAACTTCCTGGGCTTGTGGCTGATGTGTGTATTCTTATTCTCACTTCTGGGTCACTTATACTATATTTCTTTTCTTCTTTTTTTTTTTGAGTTGGAGTCTCACTCTGTCGCCCAGGCTCGCAGGCAATGGCATGGTCACAGCCATCCTAGTATCGACCTGCTGGGCTCAGGCAATCCTTCCGCCTCAGCCTTCCAAGTAGGTGGAACTACAGGCTTGCACTACTATGGCTGTCTAATTTTTTGTGATTTATTGTAGTGATGAGGTCTTGCCAAGTTGCCCAGGCTGTTCTCACACTTGTGGGCACAGGCATTTCCCTTACCTCCTGCCTCCCAAAGTGCTGGGATTACAGGTTTGAGTCACCATGCCCAACCTATACCGCATTTCAAAATCAGGAGTGCTGCTCATTCTCTGAGTTGTCAAATAAATGAATTGCACAAATACACATGCAAACTATATGTGTGCACGTGTCTAACGTTTCAGAGTGAGGCTGGCCTTGGTTTTTGTGCCTCCTCTTCCAGTGCAGGGGATTTGTGTGACAGATATTTCTGCAGTGCCAAAGAAAGAGGGTCCTTTTCCACATACGGTTCCAGAGAAATACTTTTCAAGGTCACTAAGAAGCAGGTCAAGTTCTAAAGCAGATGCTGGACCCAGGATTGGTTGGTGAATGCAAATGGCGAGGGGGCCATTCATTTTTCATGACATTATAATTAACACACTGTCTGCCTCCCGTAGGTTCGACCTTTGGGAATGAAGAACAGCCAGTTCTGAAGGCAGTTCTGTCTTCTAAAGACACACCCAAGGGGGCCAGCCGGGTAGCCCCTCCAGCGTCTGCCAGCGTAACAGCACCCCGCAGGAGCTTGCTTCCAGCGCCAAAATCCACTTCCACACCTGCTGGTAAGATGTCCCGTCCTGGAGAGACTCCGTGGTGGCATGCCCTTACTGCATTAATAAAAAGTCTTTGGAACGTCCCTGGGCACATCAGTGTCTGAGGTGGGATGGTGGATTCATTAAATGGCATTTAATAATAATAATATCAAGGCACCTTCATAGCTTCTTGTGTTCAAATTCTCACAAGTGCCTCACTGCTCCCATGACTGGCAACCCTTGGAATCACAGTTTCAGTTTCAGAGAGCAAGAACTAAGCTATTTTGAGAAGATTGGCCTCTGGCTCAGGGAAGTGGGTGCTTAGGACATCACTGGAAGGGCTGTAGGAGCAACGAGTTTCAGCACCCCACAGGGATACACTGTCCCTACAGCAGTCCAGGAGCTCTGTACCCCCACTGGCTCTAGGCTGTCACCTTCAGAGCTAGGACTCAGGGCTCCCCGGATGATCCTGAAACAGGGTTGGCTCTTGAAACAGGGTTGGCTGTGTCTGCTGAGTTCATGCAGGCAAAACAGATCCCTGGGCCCTTCCCCTCCATATCTATTAAACCAATAACTGCTTTTTTTAAAAAAAATTTTTATTACTTTGAGTCAGTCAGACTGGAGTGCAGTGGCACTATTGCAGTGACCACAGCCTCGACCTGCTGGGCTCAGGTGATCCTTCTGCCTCAGCCTTCCAAGTAGCTGAAACTACAGGCACATGCTACCATACCCGGCTAACTTTTTGATTTATTGTAGAGATGAGGTCTCGCCAAGTTGCTCAGGTTGGTCTCGAACCCTCGGGCTCAGGGGATCCCCTTGCCTCCACCTTCCAAGTGCTGGGATTACAGGCGTGAGCCACCACGTGGGGAACTCAGCATATGCAAAGGTGTGACAAGCACAGGTTCTTGGCAGCAGCAACTGCCCAGGCAACCCCTGGCCACTCTTCCTCTCCCATCCCACGCATGAGTGCATCCATTTGCCTGCAGGGATGTCTAAGCATGTTGTCCTTGGCATACCTTCTATAGTGCCAAAGAAGGAGAGCCAGGGAGATAGAGTGGATATTGAGTCCTCATATTTATTCCTCCATATTTTTTTCTACATGCATATAATCATGTATCAACACACATACCTATGCATGCCTATGGGCTTTTAAAAATGAGATTGTATTAATACCCATTTTTCTGCATGCTGCTTCCTTACTCAAAGTACATCGTGGAAATATCTTCAAGTCAGCAGTATGGCTCATTCTTTTCCATGGCTGCATGGTGTGGAGCCCATGATTTATTCCACCATTCCTTTGCTGATGGGCATTCACTTCATAACCAGCAATTTATTGTTTGCGGCAATAAACATGGCTGCTGTAAACAGCCTTGAATGGGTGGCATTCTTCCTACAGGATTGATTCCTGGAATAGGATTCCTTTGTTTGGTGCATTAAAAGATACAGCTAGATTTCTTTTCAAAAAGGTTGCAGTTTTAGTGTTTCACCTTTCTACCCATATCTCTGCTAGGAATAGGCGCACCCTCCCCCCCTTTCTAAAGTTTTGGTCCACTTGGCGGGAATCAAGTGTTATCTCAGTGTCATTTTACTTTGCATCTTCCTGACCACTAAGACTTGGGCTCATTTACTTTTGTTCTTCCTCAGGGAAAGGGAAGCTTCTGGGGGTGATGGACATGTCTGGCACCCCCGTTGTTTGCCATAGTATTTGACTCACTGCCAGCACTGCACATCTATTGGTTAATGGTTGGATGAATGAAAGTTGCTTGATGTTTGGAGTTTTCAGTTTCATTGTATTAACAGTTTGACCAGTTTAAGCCTAAGAACGTTAAAATACAATACAAATACAAGCCTAAGAAACGTTAAAATACAGCTGTACATCAACACTATACCATGTGATATGGGCATTATGGGATAAAGTAGGAACTCATCTGAAATTTATTTAGCTCTTTTATGCATGAGAGTCACCTGCAGGATTTGTAAAAACACAGATTACTGGGCCCCATCCCTTGAGTTTTAGACTAAGTAGGCTTGGCTTGGGGCCTGAGAATTTGCATTTCTTATAAATTCCCGGGTAATGCTGCTGGTCTAGGGATTATGTTTTGTGAACCACTTACAGGAAAATGGGTTAGGAATTTGAACAGACGGTTCATAGGAAGAGAAAGGCAGATGCCTCTTAGCTATATGAAAAGATAATCAACCTCACTCATAATAAGAGATATGGAAAGTAAAACTACAACGAACCACAAAATTGCACCTATTAGACTGGCATAAATTCAAAAGTTGGACAACATCCTGTGTTCGTGAGGCTTCAAAGGAACAGGCATTCTCATATATTTCTGGTGGGAATAGAAAATGGTACAGCTCCTAGGAGAGGGAGGTTGGCAGCCTCTAACAAAATCATATATGCATTTATTCTTTGACATAATAGTCTCACCCCTAGGAGTCTTTCCCCAAGGTAACCTGACAAAAATGCAGTGCAGGAAGTGATTCATGGCAGCTGTTTGAAGTCGTAAAAGACTGGAAACAACTCAAATGTCCATTCATTGGGGGTCAACTGAGTAGATTGCGTTAGATCAACAGGACGCAGTGCTATAATGCTGTCACATGAATGGGGAAATATCTCTGTGTACTACTGGAAGCTGGTTTCCAGGAGATATCATTTAGTAATAAAAGCAAAGTAGAGAAAAGTGTGTAATCAGCTCCCTTTTATCTCAACAATAGGGGAATTTTATATTATATATGAACTAATATTAAGAAAAAGTAACCGAAGTATAAACTATGAATAGGGGAATAGAAGGAGGGAATAACATTTCATACTATATATATTATATTATATTATATTATATTAAAAAGCAATAGAAGAATAAGCTATGAATTTTTTTAAAAAATTACTTATAGAGGAATAGGAGGGAATAGGGATAGAGGCTAATTGTAGACCTCACATGCACCTTGTTTTGTAGATTTGAAGTCACATAAATATTTTACACAATTATACATCAACATTACATTTGAAAAGATATCAAAGTCAAATGAAATTAAACAAATGAAAGCAATCGTATAGCCTGTTAGTGGCAGAACCACATAGGAAAGTATGTCCCTGATAGAATGTGCCCAAGGTTCTGAAAGAATTGCAAAAAGGTCTGAAACTATTTTCAGTAATTATATTACTGGTGGTAGTGTTACTATTGTGATTTTGCATCAGCTGTTATCCTGAACTTGTGTACTATGCGATAATGTGATATGGGCATTATGGGATAAAGTAGGAACTCATCTGAAATTTTTCTTGGAAAAAAAATTTCCAGCTATGTTCATTGGAAAGTTAAAAACAATAACTAAACTAATGGTAATGAGCTCCCCAGTGCCCAGGTTGTAATATCTATGTACATTTCTCATTAAATGGAGAAAGGGGTCCTTGAAGAAGCAGCTCTTCCAGGTCTAGGACAGGAAACGTAGGTCAGAACATACCAGAAAGCCAAGAAGAATTCACAGAAAACTAGGGTTCTAACAAAAGGCCCCAGGTGTTGACCTGAATAAGTTCCTATTGGTAAAATAAATAAAATAAAAATTTCTGAAAGAGTGAACATCGGTAAGATAATATATATGAGGGCATACGATACAAAACAAAACAAATCCCAAATCAGTCACTTTGGAAGATGGTTGGAAATAACCCCATTATTTTAAGATCTGGCAAATAAAGAAAATAAATAAAACATTTAGCTACTTCTATTCGGTCTGTACCTCAAGATAACCAAATATTGATTAGAGGGAAGTATCTCTTTATAAAAGTATTCTTGCTAATGAAGATATAAGAAAATATTACCTTTTGCTGCCTCTAATTGTTCAGTAGGTAAAGGCAATGATCATCAATTGAGAGAGACCACTAGGTAGTATGAACTGTACCAATAGAAATACATACAGATGACCTGGGAATTAGTCTTGGGCGAAAAAAATGAATCTGATGTAGCCTCTAGGTTTAACTAAATAACTCACTGGAAATAGAAAGGAATGCAGAGAAGCATATTAAATAACACCATGGGGAGTGAATCAGCAAACCCAGGCTCTGGAAAACTCTGTAGAACAAACCAGCTAATGTATTCAACAGCAACAACAAAATTTGTGAGAAACAAAAGCCAAACAAACATCTCTGGGGAGGAAAAGAAGAGGGAGTGGGAACAGGCAGATAACAAAAGATAGAGACATACCAGATGATTGTAGTACGGATCTAATTTTGAATACTAATTCAAACACACCAAAAAAGGAGAGAAGATAATTACAAAAATGTGAACATTGGCTGTTTCATGATGTCATGAAATTATTGTTAATATTTTGAGTTTGATGGTACTGTTTGTAGTTGTTTTAAAAAGTCACATTTTAGAAATTCACGTTTATGAAATGATATGTTATCTGGGAGTTTCTTCAAAATAATCCAGGATGGTGGTGAGAGTCTGTGTTATAAAAGATGAAAAAACACCGACCACACATTGTTCGTTGTGAAAGCTGGGTGATGGGATCCAGTAATCTCACTCAACTAGTCTCTCTGCTTTAATATATGTCTAAAGTTTTATGTAATTACACAGTAAAGTGAGTAGCGAGAGTGACTGGTCTTAGTGGAAATAGAATCAAATGAAAATAAGGCATTTCATGTCAAGAAGAGGGGAAAAGGAGGGTAGTATGTAAGATCATACACATTTCATGACTTTTCCAAGTGCTTCTGCTAGAAACGGGATTTTGGAAAGCCGTGCAATGGTGATAACAATTGTCTTCCATTTTGTATCACTTTATAAAACACTAATGTATAGAATCTAATTTGGTCCTCACAATGACCCTCAGAGGTAGGCAGAAAAATTATTGTTATAGATGAAGAAGCTGAGTCTCAGAGAGGTGACATGAGTTGTCCAAGGTCACACAGTGACATCCAGAAATAAACATATGTTGTATGAAGGGGGCACCCCAAATAGTCAGAACTTATTTATAAAAAAATTTTACATTTATTCTTATGTGTTTAAACTTCAGTCACCTTCAAAGTGTTC